GGATCTTTTCCAATGATTCCATGCTAATCATCAGCTCTGAGTAATCTGGAGTCCTGGGCATGCTCTAAGTACCTAATGTACACAGAGGTGCTGCCCAGGTAGGAAAGCCATTAATGGGAATTCCCCATTAATATCTGACCACCTCCCATGGTTTCTCACCTCTGCATCTCCCCCAGGTCTTTATTCCAATATTTCAAATCTCTCAAGAGTTTCAGAGAGCCACAGAAATGGAGTCAACAGAGAAATACTTCCTCATTCCTACCCCAAGTGTGCAATTTCTGCACAGGGATTTTTGGGTCAGAGACCCAAGTCAGGTCAAGATGAAGTTTGTGTGAGGGCCAGCTTTTCTGAACTTGAGATGTCACAGATTGGACATTTGCTGCCACTGGAATGAGTAGTGAGACACAGGTTTGCCTCAGAAGAAGTGGAGGTGCTGAGCTTGACCTTGAAATCCCTGGTTCACTCCAGGTACCCCAAAATTCCATCTTGCTAATTAAAATTTGGCTGCTAGTGCAGTTATATCATTTGGCTGTAGAGGTGAACAGATTAAAAACTGTCCTTTTTCACTAAATACCAGAAACTGTTCCCAAATCATTAAAAAAAATAATGCCTCTGCTTGATTCACAGAACCCACACAAAATATCAGACCAAGCTGTGGCACACAGGTAAATTAACAATATTGTCTGTTTTGCCCTGCCAGCACACACTCCTGACGTGTGCTAATACACACACACACACCACACAGAGCCATCTTCCCTTCAAAACACAGAACTCTAAAATACATTAAAACAATTCCAGGCATTTATTGCTTTCTTTCTGCAACTTTTATTACAAAGCCACAGACACACTGTGCCATTCTGTCTCCTTTGATGTGTTCAGTTATTGTATTTGTCACCAAAAGAAAACCACAGAACACTTTATCTTCAATGTCTGATAAGTTTTCAGTTTGAAAGGGACCGACCACAGAAAGGTTGTCCATACAAAGTTAAAAAATGCCACGCACAAACTAGGAGGTAAAGCCATGTTTGATCTGTAATGCAAATAAAATTAACAAAGATAGTGAGTTTTAGGCCTAAAATTCCTTTGATCTTTGAAGCTCCATGGTTTTACAAGTACAACTGCCTTCTGTATCACAGCCTGGCATGTACATCCATATACCTATATGTATAGGTATAGAAATACATAAAATAAAAATCTGTGTTCAACACAGGGTCAGTTACCACAAATGAGACAATGGTTTTCTTTGAACACCCTCTATTTAGGAATGAAGATGCATCCAAATCTTTTCCCATTGAATAAAAAACATATTCATACACAAGTATGACCTGGTTGGATTTATTTATACTACGGAAGACTTTTCAATATATGCAAGGCACAATCAAGCCCTAAAATTCAACGGCATGCAGAGTGACTCAGAAAAGGTCTTGGAGATACCTTGTGAAGGAAAAATAAAAGTGTGACATCCACCCAGGCACAGCAAACCAGCACAAGGCCCAGACAAAAAACACAGCCTCTCCTAAACAGGGCATGTGATGGCATTTCCATGGGGGGAAATTTCACACCATTTTTGGCGGTCAAGGTGGAGCAGATACCCAAGGCAGGATGAAATCCCCATGCTTTCTGCAAATCAAGACCTTTATAGCATCTCTCATGGTGCATCCAAAGCCAGAGCTGCATTCTCAGTGACACAGCCGAGAGCTGCCGCTGCCCTGGGCTGATGCATCATCCATGCTGGGTGGTTTAATGCAACATTTGCCTTTGGAGAGCTCTGTCAGCAGCACTAGAGATTTATCTTTTGACTCAGGAGCTTTCAAGGGCAGGAAGAAGCCCCGCCTTTCACTTGAGCCATCTGACAAAATGTGAAGTTTTTGCCTGCATGATACAGCCCTACAGAGATGGGTCACAAAGGGCAGAAGGCACTGGTGGAGAGCCGAGGCACAGCCTGGAATTCTGTGCTGTATGGGAAACGCAGGAGTGTGTCCCTTAATCCTCTAACCCTCTCTCTGAGGCTCAGAGACACAGCTGCCCCTTGAACTGGTGCCATTAGAGAATCTCTCAGGGTTTGCTTAGGGTGAAGCCCACAAAGCCAGTGCTCACCCCTGGTGTGGGTGTCAGTACTGCTCACAGGGCATGGGTCTGAAGTGTCACCTCGCTAAACACTGGCCCAGAGGGCAGAGAAGGGCCAGGAGCTTACAGGGAAATCCTGCCTTTTGCCATGCCCCTAATGCTGCTGGAATGTGCAGGAGTTTGGGACACACTGCAGTGTATTAAGTATCTTCCCACAGGCACAAGAGATGAGATGCAGGCTTTAGTATCTCTCATGGAAACATGCACTTACTGCTTCCTTGAAATAAAGGTGTCCTGAGTGTATAGAGGCTTTTTTATTTACTTAATTTTTAATGAAATGACTCTGTGTACTACAGACATCAAGAACACCTGCCTAAATCATGCCTTATATCAGTGCTCACACTTAAGCTCCTCTCAGCTCTCCCTGAAGCTGCGAGGATGGGTATAAAGATATCCTTAATCTGAATTTTAGGGACTTCATAAATTTGTGTTGAACCCTCCTGCTGAAAAATACTAGCAATGGGTTGCTTTCTTACAATCTCTACAGGAGGACCATCAGGAGGGATGGTCTTCCTCTAGGGGTTATTACATGGATAACCTACTCCTAAGGCAAGAAAGGGACTTTTTGGAGCAGAATGTATTGGTGAAGAAAGGAGCTGACGTGTTTCACTGAATCGGGGCCCCATCTCGCAGCACCACGGCTGAGCAAACAGGGAACTGTTTGGTTTGCTGGTGATTCAAACAAACCACCAGAAAAAAAATCACTGTGGGTCAACACAGAGCAAATACCTCCAGAAAGAGAAAAGCAAAGCCTAAAGCACAGCTTTGTTTCAGATTAAATAAAGTGTTTCACTTTTAAATGGAGCAGCTGGTTTGGTGAGGATCTCTTTCACAGAAGAGGCTTGAGAAGGAAGTAATTCCAAAATAAAAATTAGCATCTCTCAAATTTTCTTTTCTTTTTTTTTTTCTTTTGTTTTTAAACCACCAAACTCTAAATGAAAAGAATCTAAATGAAAATTCAGTTACATCATTGCTGAATCTGCCTTCCCCAAAGAAAATTCTGGCCCCTGAAGAGCCTCTCTGTGGTGTGCAGCAGAAGGAAGGTTCAAGCCCCCTGATGGGGAGCAGCTCCTGTGTTCTCTCCACATTGTGCCCAGCTCAGCCTCCACTGGCTCCTAAAGCAGCAACAGTTACAAATTAAGAGTTTCACCTGCATTTCATGATTTCCCCTTCCAAGCACCCTGAGGCCAAAGTTCCTTTTATAGCCTCACAAATTATTATGCTTCGATTTACAAAATTTTCTTAAAAAAAGCAACCAATCAAACAGAAAAACCCCAGACCAACAAGCCACTGCAGGGCTTAAAAAACTAATGAATCATCCTCCCCAGCCCCCCCCAGAAATGCATAGTGAAACAGCTTTCCCTGTGAGAGAAGAACTCTGCTACTGAGGATGGCTGGGGTCCATGAGAAGTGATCTGCAGACCCTGACAGTCAGAATTTGGACAGTGGAAAAGGTCAGTTTCTGATGGACAGGATGGCACCAGCAGCACCTGAGCTGACAGGAGATGACACCTGGCTAGTGTGAAAAGGCACAGAGACAGGTGGCCTCCAGGTTAGGAGAAGCACAGTTGGTCACAAGCTCTATCAAGTGTGTTCTGAGCATGGCATCTACAGAACCTGAAAAAAAAAAATCTTTATTTTCTTTGATCAAAAATACATATAGAAATGCCTGTTTTGAGGAAAATATCATACATTTTTTTTCTTGTTTAACAAAATAAATTAAATATACATGACTTCTGTTTAAACTCTATATAGAATTACAAACGTTTTATATTTTGCAATTGGATTCATTCCCAGTCCATATAGGTATTTAATATGGTCCTTATTTATTTTCTCTTCTCTTTGTTTTAACTGCTGTTTGAACTGCAATCTTTTATCACTTATGAAGCGATATCTGAGGGGAGGGGACAACCACACACAACCTAGGTGGATATTTCTCAAATGTAATTTTTTCCTACAAGATTATTTCATTCTCTTTGATTCTTACTATTTTTTCTAATGCTTTCATGTATTTTGCATTGATGCAGAAAATCCAGTAGCTTGTCACTCTAAGCCATCAGAGAAGGACAGTGTGTTTTGCTTTCTTCACCATCAGCAGTTCAATTATTATTATTATTATTATTATTATTTCTTAAATATAAATATAAAGGTGTTCTGTACAATGTTCCTCTTTCCTTCTTTCCTTTTTCCTGGCAGTGGCACTGAGTCCTAGGACCAGGGGAGCAGAGCTGATCTGCAGAAGATCCCATGAGAAACAAGATGCCTTCACCTTGCAGAAACTGAACCAACCAGCCCGGTTAGCTGACTGAGCTGACCACGGCTGAGAAGCACGTGGCATTTCCCCTTGTGAACAGAATTGGTTTTTCCAGACCCTCTTGTGTTATTTTCTTTCCCTGGAAGACATGAATGGGTTACATCTTCTGGTGCTTTGGCACTAAACCTCAGGTACGTTAGAGCTGGAGTCACTCAGAGCAGGACAGGTCTGGGGGCTTCCCTCCAAAACAAGAGATGCCCAGCAGGAATCCAGGCCCATCCAGAAAAGTACCACACACACCTCTTGCTCTACCTGCTCCTTTCAGTAACACAAGGAAGGAGGTGGTGGTTCACATCCCTGTGTCCCATCTCACTTGCTGCCACTTTGATTAAAATATCCAGGAAGGCTCTGCTGCTGGCGACAGCTGCCTCTCTGCTGTGAATTGGAGTTCCTTCATTATTCCTCGGCTACATCCTGATTGCAATAATTAAAAAAAAAAAAAAATCTCTTTTCTCTCTCTGTCTTTCTCTATTATATATATATTTATATAGATAGATATAGATATATACACATATATATATACACACATACACACACACGCATATACAATTATATATATATGTATATATATATTTAAAATTACATATATAACTTTTTCTGTCTGCTTTGCCTGTTGCTGGCAGTGAGAGCTGACCTGGAGCAGTCTCTGCTGAGGTACCACGAGGAAAAGCCCAAAGGAGCCGCTGTACACGGGGCCAAGCCTTAGCACTGGTACTGGATGTGCTGGTGCTGGTGCACTTTGCCCTCCACGTGCGAGTGGGTGTGGGTGTGGATGTCCGTGTAGATCTTTGGGTACATTTTGGAGGCCATGGCAGGGGCCAGGGCGGGCCCCTGGGACAGTAAATGCTGCTGCTGGGCCATGTACTCCTCGTAGTTTATGGAGGAGATGCAGTCTTTGTCGGGGAGCTGGGAGACGCAGATCCTGTCGCGGGGCGGTGGCCGGTGTGTGGGGGCAGCGGCCGGAGGGGAGCACGGCTTCTTCTTGGACTGGCACAGCCACAGCAGGATCGTCCCGAAGATGAAGACGGCTCCGGCGGGGATGCCGATGATCACGGGCCAGGGCAGGCTGCTGGCCGAGGACGGGGGCACAGGTGCGCTGGGAGGTTTGGGATCTGGGCGTGGTGGCAGGGGAGAGACAGAAAGAGTTAATTAAAGGCAGGCAGAGCGGATTCAAAACAGATGTCACACTCGGGCTGGCTGCTGCACAGGCTGTCTGGCAACCCTGCCAGACCAAGTAACAAGGGAGAAATCAAGCTAACACATGATGTTTGGTAACTGCTTTGCTTTTTGGTGCTCCTGGAAGGACAAGCAACTCATTTTCTCTGGTTTAGGGGTCAGGAGGGGATTTGCTGCCCAGACTGGAGGACACAACACAGGACACGTCAGTAAAGCCTCATTGTCAGCAGCCCAGGAAGCACAGTCAGGTTGTGCAGAGCCACAGCACGCTGCCCACCCACCTGTGCCAGGTGTAGCTCTGCCTGCAAGGGCTCCAGACACTCTCTAGCAATCCTGCCTAGCAATCCAGGAGATACCCAGCAATGCTCCACCATGGCAGGGAGAATGAATGTGGGGTTTTGGAGGCATTGTCTTGACTTTTTTGTGTGGTTGGGAGGAAGGCTGAAGGATGGGGAAAATGTAGGTGAGCTGGTGGCCCCTCCTTGGTTCCCAAGCCACAGAGAGATGAAAATTCATTCAGCATTGAAATGTGTCCCCAGCTTCCTACACCAAATGGGCTCTATCTCCACCAGTCTCTTTGGAGCTGCTGCTGGTTTCTCAAGGGCAGTAAATTCAGCTGCTAGAGGAGACAAGATGCTTTAGACTTCTTTCACAACTACCTTCTTTATCTCTCTGCAGTTGGCAGTCAGTGGCTATCCCTGGATAGGCACTCGTTTCTCAGCCTGATCTGCTGATTTATAGACCCAAAAGGAGTCCTGGGGTAGGATTCTAGCTATGAAAATCTTTGTCTAGATAGCTTCCAGCTGGAATATCCAATGCCTTGAAACATACCCAGGCACAGAATTCAGCTTGCAGGGAGACACCCAGAAAACTTCAAAAACCACAGGCTATCTTAACCATTCAATATGTTATATTCAAACATGTATCACTTAACTTTCAAATTAAACTTCTTTAAGACACTAATGTCTTTTTCCCTCCTTGACAAATAATTCTATGGGTAGTTTGAAATGTTAAATATATACCATGTGGTCTCTTTGAAGTTACAAGGACCTATACTTTGACCTCAGTAGATGAAATTTTGATTCACCAACACTGGAAATTACAGAATAATTTAGGCTGGAAGGCAAGTCTGGTCCAGCCCCCTGATAAAAACATGACACGATCAGAGAACTGATCCATCAGCTGACCATGAAAACAGAAGTCTTCATGCTGGTTGGCAGAAATCCTATGCTGGGCTGAAAAGAAAGTGTTTTGATATTTATCCGTGTTCCTCAGAGCTGTCAATGTCAAATCTGGTAGACTTAAAAGCAAAATGGTCTTTTTTAACTCATGGCTTTACAACCACATCTTTGCATCTTAGTGCAAGCTGGGTTCTCCTTCTCCATCACTGCCAATATCAACAGCCCTGCAGGCTCTGGTTCTGGCATGAGGCCTCACTACAGTCCCATTTAAATCCATGGAAAGTCTCTCCCTGATTTCAGTGGGAGCTGGATCACTCTCATAGGTCAGAAACTCCCAGAGGCTTTGAGTTATATCCCACCCATGCTGCTTCTTCCTTGGTATTTACAGGCCTTTCAGTTAGAGTGTAGTCCTAACTCCAAAATGTTTTATCAGGGTAGAACTGCACAGTCAGAAGACAAAGGAGCAGAAGACCAGGCCAAGATGGTGTGTCTCAAAACAAAAGATAGAGTCTCAGTTGGATGTGGCCACCAGCTCTGAGGACTGGGGAGGGAAGGCAGCAGCTGTGAGTTTGGTACAGAAGCCCCAGGGGATCACTGGATAAAAAAGTAACTAATCATTCTGGTTTTCACACTTATTCATTTAATTTCCTTGTGACCCAGACAGTTTTTATTCTTTTCTCATTTTACAGGCCTGTATCATTGTTTCCTTTCACCAGCAAAAGCATTATAAATAAGGGCAAGAGAACAGAGGAATTTCAGGGAATGAGGTTGCAAACTGTGCTGCTATTCAGTTCCCCTTTCCCATCCTGCACCCTGTCACTGTGATTTAGTGATTCTGCAACTGCAGTATGTTTTCCCAGCTTGCTCCTTTTTCAAACAGGAGCAGATAATTCAATTTATGTCACCTGGATGACTGAGAGGCACCTCAACAATATCTGTGAGTATCTGCAGGGAGGTGTCAGAGCTTGGATCAGGCTCTGCTCCATGATGTTGTGCAACAGGACACAGAGAAAGGGCAGAAACTGCTGCCCAAGAAGTTCCACCTGAACGTGAGGAAGAGCTTCTTTACTGTGCAGTGACTGAGCACTGAACAGATTGCCCAGAGAGGGTGTGGAGTCTCCCTCACTGGAGATATTCCAGAACCATCCTGACACAATCCTGTACCACGTGCTCTGGATTGACTCTGTGCATGGAGGTTGGACCAGATGACCCACTTTGGTCCCTTCCAACCTTACCTAATCTATGATTCTGTGGTTATTCCCCACAAAGGGAGAAAATGAAATATCATCAACAGGATTTCAGCAGGGACTTGCTTAAATCAGGGCTGATTTTGTCCCCCATTCACTCATCAGAACTGGGCTATCCTAAATCAGCACAGCATCACAGAGGGCCAGGGGAACAGTGGGCAGCAGTAGTTGAATTAATAAATACCATGATGCAGAGGACTGATAACAGAGGGGGAAAAATGTCACAACTCACCTGGCAGGACTGTGAGAAAAGCACTCCGGAAGCTGTAGCCCATGGTGTTTGCCCCGAGGCAAATGTACATCCCTGCATCCTCCTCCTTGGCTCGAGTAATCATCAGTTTGTTCAGGTAGGACCCATCTGGGCGGGACCAGACCTCCCCCGTGGGCAGCACGACAAACTTCTGTCCCCCGACATCGATGGTGGAGTTGTACTTGCTCTCCGTGCCGTACTCCACCCTCTTCAGCCACTGGATGACGGGTTTGACGTCGCTGCGCACCTTGCACTGGAAGGATGTGGTCCCACCGTAGTCCACCGTGGTGTTGACGGGGTGTGTCCCTGTCAGGATGGGCTTGGACCTCGTCCTCTCTGCACAGAAACACAGGGAGCTCCATGGGAAAAGGTGTTTGCCAACCTCTGTAACTTGTAATTGCAGAAGCATAGGGAAAAGGTGTAGGAGGGATGCAAAATCATAGTCTAGTCCAATTCCCGGCACCAAGGCAGGCTGAGATTTTTGCAAACTTCTCCTGATACACATTTTTCCAGCCTCTGCCAAAACCTCCAATGGTAGATGCTCTCCAAACAACTCCTCCAGTGTCTGACTCTTTAACAAGTCTGTTCTCATGCCCAACCTGAATCTTCCTGATTATAACAAGGAACTTCCTTTTCTACCTGTATCAGACCTGGAGAAGAAAATGGTTTCCCTCTGAGCCCTTATATTTTGGAAGATTTTCTTCATCCCTCTGCACACTGAGCAAGTCTCCTTCCTGTGGTTCTGTGATGTGTCACTTACTACCATGACCAGCAGGCTGTAATTTACAGGTAAGACAGAGCCTTTATGTGTTTTCAGACACAACCTCGTATTTACAAATACTTATCTGTTAGGAACCCACACCTGCTGGCTACCCTCAGTTTGGGGATAGTGAGGGGTGGGGTGAGACATATTCTTTCTCCCTCTGGCCTTCTCAAACGTTCCCTGTGGACAGACAAAATCAGGTGGGAAAAGGCCCCTTCTTTCACGGACTATGGCAGGCTGTGGATATTCTCATCTTTGGTCTCAAAGTCCTTCAGGAGATACCTGTCACCTCTCAGGCTGGGCCTGCAGGTGTCCATGGGGACCAAACTCTACTGGGAGCAATCCCATGCCATGTCACCAACTGCTGCAAGAGCTGAGACCGCAGACACTGCCCATGAGGAAGATTTTCACTTCATCCTCACCTCCCTGCTTTTATCATTCCTTTCTTTGGTATTATCAACACCATACTCACTATGGAAAAAAAAAAAAAAAATGGTGGAGGATGAGCTCAGAAGGCTTTTGCTTTTCTAGCCAGTAACAAAATCTTTTCTTTCTCACAAATTATTTTTGCCTCAAGTCTCAGGCAAGGTAGGAAACAAGATGGAAGGAAAAGAAATCACACTGAAGAGGTTCACAAGACCATCCTTTCCAGCATGATCCTAAGTCTAAGGTTGTGTCAACACCACATAAAGTGAAAGGAAAAATGTATGCCTCATTCTGAGGAATGTTTGGATTTGTTTTTAGTGTTAGGATCAGATAAATCAGTCACAGTTTCCAGACAAGGAGGTACTGCAAACCTCTATCTTAGGCATAGGAGAAATTATGGTATCACAGTGAGTGGTAACTGCTGGCAATCATCAACTCCTTTTGATGGCAAACACTGTTGGACTGAGCATGCAACAAAACAGCTCCCACCAGCACTGGCTTTGGAGTGAGAGGGAGGAACAATGGACCCTCTTTCAAAAACTCGGGATATGTTCAATATTGAGGGCTCTAAAGATGTGCTTAGGAAACAAAAATACCACAGTAGTCTCTGTAGGTTTTGCCTTGGGACTGTGAGCAGCAATCACAACTGGGGAGACTGATATTCAGATAAGCAGGACTTAGGAGTAGAGGCTCAGGGGGGAAAAAAAGGAGGAAATTGAATAAAACCTGTAATGCTCCACAGAATGATGTTAAAAATAGAAAGATGTCTGAAAACTGCTTAATGCCCTTATCTCCTTGACTCTGGTTCCAGCTTTGGTTACTGTTTTTACTCCTAGCCAGCAAAAGCTAATGAAAACAAAGGTTACATACATCTTTAAGTTGATAAAAACCAAGATAAATAGGGACACAGAAAGGGGTTTGTTCCTGGTGCTGTCTGGTTTTGATGAAGTGAAAATGCCACAGCTGCCATTAGGATGGGCCTTGATTCATTTCCCTGCCTCTGCTCCTGGTTTTAGTGTAAACACATGTTTTTACTGTCTCCACACAGCTGCATCTTTATCAATCCCAGATGTCCAGCAGGTTTGTGCCTTCAGAGCCCAACAGAGCTTCCCACATGTGCTTTTAATTCCTGTGATTCTAGAGAAAGGACTTATTAGAGAACAGATCTTTACCTTTAAGAGAAATCTTTCACACTGGGATAACCTTTCTTATGCTAAAATGCACAGACAAACAACATGCTTTCCAAGTGACTGGAAGTAGCCCTCCATGCCCCTGCTCCTCATTAATGAGGGCTATTCAATCTTCCCTCCACTCAGCTCATCTTCTCCTCTTTCTTGAGTTGGCTACTCTGTAATCATTTCCATGACAACTTATGATGATGTCACAGGCAAAGCACAATGATTTAAGAATAAGAGCTCTTCTCTGGTAAACTTAGGAAGGATTTGAGCATAATTATCATCAGAAATAATAGGGGAAACAGAAGATTAGACAGCAAGAATCAGAACGGCTAGATAGTAAGAAGAGCAATTTACCTCACCACAATGCAGGGTAATCCCCCACAGCTCATCTTCTAAGGATTGAATCTTTAAAGCTATGTAGGCATCTAAAGATACAGACAGGATCCTAGTGGGAGTTTTTATGGTTTCTTTTTTTCTAGTAACTCATTTGTACCTGCCTGGACCTTCAGATGGCCAAACGTTTTTTAGAATCTGGCCCTAAAGCCTTGTCTGGTTAGTCACTCTAATCACAGGATTTCTGCTAATTCCCTTGGGAAACTTCTAGATTAAATTTTTAATTGACTGATTTCACCCATTCTGGCATGCTAATCTGGGTTATCCTAGATATTCCCCCCCACCATGGTACTTGAAAGGGCTTTCTCTGTTAGTTCTCAGTCTGTCCTTGAATTGGCTCTCCTGTAGAAGACTGAATTGGGTATGACTTTCACCATGCAGGTGCCCGTGGACACAATTGTTTTCCAACAATTTACCTGTCCTCATTTCAGCTCCTCAATTGTCCTCTCACTACTCTCTCCTGCCCAGGTTTCAGGCTCATTCTAGAGTTTCAGCAATGTTTTCTCTGTACGTATGTTTTCTCTGATGTATTTAGTAATTCCCCATTTCCATGTCCAGCCATCAACACTGCACACTTGTTGCTCAGTCAACACTGTGTTGACTGAGCCAGTCTCCTTCTGAAAGGCCCCTCTCTGCTCTCCCTCCCACAGCTGCACTTACGGATCACTTCAACTTTGTACGTTGCATTGATTTCTCCAACTTTGTTGAACACCCGGCAGGTGTACTTCCCGCTGTCCTCTGGCTTCAGGTTCTTCAGGTTCAACGTCCACTTCTTCTTCTTGTTCTCCCCGATCTCCTGGGGAGTGAGGGGCTTGTTGTCCTTCAGCCACGTGATGTCGGGCCTGGGGTTGCCGCTGGCCACGCACTTGAGGCGGATGGAGCTGCCGACGGGGCGGGCGATCACCCTGCGTCTCATCTTGGCAGGCTGAGTGAACCTGGGCCGGGCTGCAAAAGGCATCAGAATGGACTCTGGTGAGCACAGGACATGAGCAAAGAAGGAAACTTGTTAAATCTTATGGCCAGATTTGCTTGAGAGGCAGCCCCATACACACCGGTGTATCACTGTCCCTCATACCAGCTCAAGCTGTTTTCCTTCGAACAGGTTCACCACCCAGACCGATGCATTTGAAGCTCTACTGGACTGCCCTGGCCACTGAATGAACTTCTGCATAGCACAGCCCCAGAATCTCTGTACCTGTAAGGCAATTGCACCAGACCATCTCACAAAATAATACCAAGATCACGCTATTGCAGCTGAAGGCAAAACGCGGCCCCATAATCACACGGTAATTGTTACCATATTCCACAAACTCCTAAGCCAAGACCAAAGGAAAAAACTCAGATTTCTGTCACGCTGACCATTTTCTCAATTTTTTGCTTGTCACATGAAGCTTCATTTCCTGAAGATGTTTTGCCTCTTAGTTCTCAGTGACTTTATCGGGACTTAAGAAGAGTCTCTTTTAAATACACAGGGAAGTCTTAGAAGTGTGACAGACTTTTTGTACATTGATCCAAACTTAATTGTATGCAATTTTTTCAGCTCAAATTTACACTACATTCATGTTGAATGGTCCAAAGAAGCAAAAAAAGGAATGAAAAGACCAAATAAAATTCCATGAGTTTGTTATTAGATGATACCCCATGCCAGTCCATCCCAAAACTGGGGAGGAATTCTGAAGCAATAGCTGCTGGCGGATAGAAGCATGGGTTAAATCAGTCATCTTGTTTAAGCAAAGAAATCACCAATATTTCTAAGAACAGAGACAAAAAACTTAGAGAAATGCAAGGCCTTCACCTGGTAAAGCCTAAAATTTAAGGAAGAATTTAAAAGAAATAACAAATTTCTTACGGTTACTTTAACTACACAATGCCAGTCCAGGGGCGCTTCTAACTAAGCCGATCCTGCTGGAAGTCAGAAAAGACCTCTGAGATGATTCCAACACTGCCAGCTCCACAACTAAACCATGTCCCTAAGGATCGTATCTACATGATTTTTAAGCACTTCTAGGGATTCACTGGCCAGCTACAGGATGGCCTAGTGAGACTGCCTATTTGACAGCCATCCCTGCTGCCCAGGGCTGAGGGCCAGAAGCTCTGGGATGTGCACTATAGTGGAGCTTTCCTGAATGGAAGAGGCTGGTCTGCAGCCTCCTATCTCCAAGCACTGGGGAATGGCAGCCACTGCCCTCTGAGGTTTGTGAGCACACCCCTAAGCACTCACCCCCCTTCAGCCTTGGCCAACGTCCCTCTCTCTGGGAAGAGGACACCCTTCGGCATACCCCTCTCCGCAGAGTGCTTTTCCGCAGGGGAAACCATCTGTCTCCACAGCCTTCCCTTGCCCCCCTTGGCTGTCATTTTGGGTCCCAGCCATTTCATGTTATTTCAAACTCCTGCTCAGAAATGCTTTGCTCTCCATGCAGAGGCTTTCATGTGTAATCCAATGAACCGGAGTAACTCCGGCACTGGAAGTCTTTGCCATGACAGCTGAGCAGCAAGTGTGACATACTAACCCCCTCCACAGGTCATGGTGCCTGGATTGCTGGGTGTTCCCTTTGGGGTCTGCTGCAGGAGGCCCCCTCACAGCAGAGACAATCCTCCTTCCTCACAATGGACCCTGTCAGAGCTGCACACTGCGGGCAGCAACATCCCAAATTTTAGTCTGAGCCGAGGGAGACGCGCTGATAAGGGCTGTCACTGTGGAAATTGAGAAAATGTCTGCAAGGCTCATGGAGAGGTCAGGAATCAGCCATGCAATGGGTCTGAACAGTCTCTCTGTAATATGGCAGTAATTTACTCTGAGACCAGGAACTCCAGGTCTAAGTAGAGGGGAGATCCTCATGGACAGGATTCCTGAGCTGGGACTAACACACCAAAGAGCAAGCTGGAGTCAGGACAGTCACACTTCCCCAGCAGACTGAAAAGTCAAGTGAGTGACTCTGAACTCTCAGAAGGACTTGCTGGCATCCCTGCTCAGTTGAGGGCAATAAGGGCATTTTAAGACAGAAACTCTTTCCACCCCAAAAAAGCAGATATTTAACATTCTGGTTTTCCTCCCACTGTGACTCCCATGAGCCTATCTGGAGTTTTGTATTCACTCCTCACACATGGTTGCCCAAATACATACCAAACTACAGGTAAAGCTACACTTCTTTGGATCTTTCAGCCTTCCTTTCTTTTTCTGTTTAAAAAAGGTTAAGTGATCATGTGGTCTCAAAAGCTACTCCAGGCTACGTGCAATATGCTGAAACCAGATCCCATTTACACAGTCCTGAATGTTTCCTTGACAAAAGCCTGAATTGGACAAGTTTAGAAAAGCCAGTTAACAAAAAAAGGAGAAAGAGAGAGACACACATTAGAGAGAAAAAGAGCCACAGCAAGCACAAAGGAGGAGAAAGAGGAGAAGCAGCACTGTGAGAGACAGGAAGAAAAGGTCTCTTGAGTTGATGCTAAATGACTGTCCCCAAATCTGTTCCATTTACAGAAGTTTTGCCTGTTAGAGTGCCAGCAAAGGCCATTACAAAGTGCCTCTGTGTTATTCACATGCTTGTTCTCCTCCACATCACTTGGCATTTGCTTCATAAACATGAACCACACATTTTTACAGTATAAATTATGTCCCACTCAAGAGCAAGGGAAAACACAAGTGGATGGGGACAAAGAGACAGTGTTGTGTACAGGTTCCTGGCTGAAATGCTGTTGACCATGAAGATTTATTCAAAGCTAATGAAAATTAAATGCAATGGAAGCTTGTCAGCACAAAGACCTGTGAAGGAATCCATTGGTGTCCTCCCCCTGTGAGACACCTTGAGAGGCATGGATGGGTCCCTGAGGCTCCTGTCAGACACTGCTCACACAAAGGGAGGTGATAATCTGAAAAATGCTGTCTGCTGTGATGCAGCACCAGTACCTCCACGTAGTGACAGTCACTTCCAGCTTTCATGATAATTACAAAAAAATGTTTCTCAATAGGACTATGTATTGAAATACTTTCAGCTCTTCTGGTTAAGAGCTCAGTCAGTTGTGAGAAGACATGGATGGGGGTCTCCATCTTTCCCCACACCAGCTCCCTGCTCTCCCCAGAGATACCACTCTGTGATGGTAGATAGAAAGTGGAGCTTTTTTTTTCACCATGCTTCTCCTCTCACATTCATCCAGGGGCCCAGAACTGTGACAACACAAATTGCTTCTTCATCCATCATCCTCCAGAGACCTGCAGACACACACTGACCCTCCCTGCACACCAGCTCACACCAGCAATTTACTGGTGAACAGTGCTAGACTGAAAGGGTGCCACGGCCAGCCCCAGGCATTTCTCTGCTTGGGGTGAGGAGAGGAGACAGGAGGGATGGGAAGAAGAAAAAGCAGAGGTTCAGGAACACTGAACTGGGCCAAGGCAGCACCGAGTAAGACAAAATCTGATACAAGATTGTCAGTGCCTAATAATTTGAGTAGGATTTACATATTTTCTTCATAATATTACTGTTGTACTGTTGTATTAGTCCATCATCCAGCAGCTCTACCAGGAGCACAATGGTAATGAAATGTGGAGATGGCAGATTTGTACTAGCTGCTGAACCCCTCCTGAAGTACTTCTAACCTGCAGTTATCCAAGACGCCCTTGCTCCAGCTCTAAAATGTTATCAACCCTTTCCAGAATGAGTGGAGGTTACCTTTCCCTCCCCAAACAAGCTCAGTCTGACATAAATATTTAATTCAAGTGTAGCCTGGACTACACCACAGCACACCACATCCCTGTTTGCTAGCTGCTGAAGAAAACTGGCCTCAGCTGAAGTGGTGGGGACTCATACAGAGAAAACCTGTCATGTTCCACCCCTACCACTACTGTGAGGTTCTCCCTGGCCACAAATGTGGTACAAAGCCATCTCTGTATTATAAAACTGAAGAGAGGGATGTACTGCCTGAGCAAAATGAAATGCTGTGCTTCATCCCCTGAGCTCATAAACTCACATCACACTCCTGTCAGTAATGGCCAAAAGCTGTTTGGCATCAGCCTGACAACTTATTGTCCTTCAAGGAGTGCTTGGACCAAACTGGGCCTGCAAGTTTTGCAGCGATTCAGAGCCTGTTCCAAGTGAGATTTTAGCAGCTCCCCAAAGCTCTGCAACAGCAACAAAATCTGCCTGAACAGTCCATAGCTTAAAGAAGTTCAGGCAGGTGTCTGAAAGAGAGGGTGATCTTAAAAAATACTCATCTTGGCTTAGTGCTAATTCTCCTGAAGTGAAGTCAGACCTCCCATTTGCCCTCAGTCAGAGCAATGTTATGTTGGCACTGTAGACTTTTGGAAATATTGCTGTAAAAGTCAATATACTTTTTACAGGGAGTCTATGAAAGCTGTAATAGCTGCACATGCAGAAGAAAAGTCGCTGCCCAGAAAAACAAATACAAGGGAGAACCATGCTGGGGTAAATGGCAGGGGGCCCTAGGGCCAGCCACAGGCTGCATTTTGCAGGACCCTTGGATGGGATCCATTCACACCAACACATTCAGCTGACACTCTGTTTATTATTTGACCATATGTAGGGAGAACTCACTCCAGTTGCTTTGCCTTTCCTCTCCTTCAGCAACTGAGAGACGTGCCACATGAACAGCACTGAAGCAAGGACCGAGGAAAACCACGGAACACACACTGCTCCTTACCCCACTGCTTCCCAGAGTGATCTTCATATTCTCCATTGGAGCCTTCAGGCACCTGGCTGTCCTTTCCTGAGCTGGCATCATCTGTGAAGGAAAGGTAAAGGAAAACGTTATGAAGGTCTCCTGCAGGATGACAACAAGAGTTTGCATTTTGTGCTGGAGACACCATGCAGCTGAAGCAAACTCAACATACAGCAGGCATCCACATCCTGGCACCTACAGCCTGGCCAGTTTAATGAACAATTTTGTCTTCTGCTTTATGAGCTTTTCAGCAGGCTACCAAATCAATGGGAGTTTAATCAATGTTGCCATTAATAGCTGACAAAAGCCTCTTTGTTTGTGTTTACAGGTTGCTGTTCCTTAGGAGGAGCTGATCTGTGGTACCATCTATTCAAATAATGGTATAAATCAAAATTAGAGATAATGAAACCTATGAGATGGGGGGAGACTTCAATGATGAGGCACACAGAGCACAAGCAGTATGATTGTGGCCACTAATTCACCCTTCTGCTTCCATACAAAATCAGAAAAGAAAGCAGGTCTGGGGTCAAATGAGCTCTCAAGGGATACTGAATGCAAATTTATGGCTGGAAAAACCAATATTGATTTGAAAAGCTGCTTTGGGGTGTTTCTTTTTAATTAAGACCACTCATCCACCTGTATCAACACACCACTTTGTCCCTCATCACTCTTGTTGTCTATATCACTACCACACAGCAGTACCAAAATCTCAGCTCTGCCCTGAAGAAATAGAAAGCTCTACAAAGTGAAACCCCCATCTCCCCAGCAGCCCCCACCTCCAATTGCTGCTGTGATTTGGCCACCTGTGAGGTCTCCAGGAGGGCCAAGGGGGCAGGAGAGTGCTCTGAGCCTCCTTCTACAACCTGAGTGATACTGGTGGCCTCACACCTCTGCAGCACACAGATGTGAAAGTTTTTCCTCCTCCAGCTTGACCTCTACTGCACAAGTGCTCAGCTCTGAGCAGCCTCTGACGTAGCAATGGCTCACACCAGGAGGGAGGTGCACCTGAGGCACCCTGGGTACCTTCACATGATGCTGCAGCAAAACACATTCTCTTCTAAAACTAGTTCTGTGCTCTACAAGGTGGCACAGCCCCTGAGGGCAGCTGCATTTCAGGTGACAGTCTGGACCAAGAGCTCCTCAGCTCCTAACTTAAGTGCACTGAAGTGGGTGAAAATTTTATTTTCAGAGACGGGTCAGGTGAAGGCTAGGAGAAAGTTTGCCTCAATGAGGAAAACAATGGTGTAAAAAACACAAACAAATAAAGACAAGTAGAAACATTCTAAATTAAGGAAGGAATGCCTCCAAATGCCCAACTCCTGAAACTCATAAGAAAAGGGTCTTGTGAGCAAAAGAGAGGTAAATTATTTCTGTAATCTCTGCAACAGAGAGGAAAAACTGATCTGAGCTTATATATAAGCATGCCTTCCTGAAAAGGTACAAATAGTAGAACTTCCCCTTAATGTTGTTTTACAAGTTGAGTTGTGCTTAAAATAGTATTTAATGTGTGAAATTGTGTGCAGTCTTTGAGAGAGAAGAATGGAGAGAAGAATGTGTCTAACCCAATCCTCACTCCAGGTTCTGCTATTTTGGAATATCTCTTCAGCACAGGACATTATATGCCAACAGATAAATAATGATCTGCTCTCATTAGCCTAGTCCCTTAAGCAGAGAGGCTGCAATGCCACATGAGTTTGTCCCCCTTCAACACTGAGAGATTTTTCTCTTCTCCTTTTGGCTATGTACAGCTGTCACTTTGAGGGGAAAACTTTCTGGGCAGCAGTGCCATGCTCAAACCTCAGCAGCTCCTCCAGCTGACTGCCCCATCCCACCTCCTGGCACCCTCTGTCCATGGCTGGACACCCTGAGCCTTTCCTGGGTGCCTCAGACCATGGACATGCCCAAAACACGGGCAGCAGGGTGAAACAGGTCCCACTCAGCAAACACCAAGTCTCACAGAGAGCCTGAGTGCCAGAGCACCATCCAGGCTCTGCCTGCAGCCTGTGTCACAGAGGGGACCACTGCCCCCTGAGCTGCACTTTGCAAGTTTATTTTTACAACCTTGGCAAACCAAACGCAGGGAATGCAAAAAGACACATTATACATGATGGCTTGCATATGATGTTTTCTCCTTTCAGTCAAAATACCAAAGGGACTATCTCCTGGCACTTGTACAGTTTTTCTCATAAATATCATAGTGTCACGAATGAACTCTTGGATACTGCCTGACAGTAAATCCCTCAGCACAAATAGAAAAATGTATTGAAAAGGAGAGGAAGAACTGTGGTCAGAGATCTGGGATTCCTGTCCATTGTTAACTGCTGAATATCATAAAAGTGGTTACGACGTTCAAGTGGTGATGTTCTGTCAATTATACCTTAATCCTGCTCAGTTTGATGTACAAAGGGCAGGCTATCCCCCTTGCCTGCTGCCTCATGTTACAGTAAGTCAGCCCCTGTGCCCTCCTCCTGCCGACACACAGCCACTGACTATGGACTCCACACCTCCTGACTTGCTGCCAAGCTTTTGATGTAAGGAAAATTGCTCAGAATCCGTTTGATCCTTTGAAGATGTATCGTCAGTTGTTATCCCAACAAATTGCTGTGGAGTCACCTACCAAACCCAGAAGAAACATTTTTGGGGAAAGGGATCAGGATGACTTATGCCACCATAAATGGCTGATGGAATAGACAAATTGGTGGAGGAGCAAGACTGAAGTAACTGAATGCATTTAGGCACATTAGTTTAGATACGCTGGAAATAGCTTCACATGTGCTTGGAATCTGGTAACACTAACAACAATAGCTGAAGTCTTGAGGTGAGGAAATGCCATAAACATGGCAACTCCTGTAAAGCAAAACTGCTCCTTCCCATCCCCAAAGCTGCTCATGGGGTGAGGGATGTTACAGCAAACCCTTCCAGCTGCCACGTGCAGTGAACTGGGCTCCTGCCTTCCTCATATCTCAACAAACTCACACGCGGCAGCTGTACCAAAAAGCTGATTTGTGACATCCAGAAACTGGATGAAGCTCATTTGGGGAAGATTCCCTGGTGCCCCTGAGTCTCCAGTTGAACTTAAAAAGTGAATGAGGCAGTGAAGTAGCCAGAGATATAATGATAAATAAATATAATCTAATCTGTGATGTGAGTGACGCAGGGTCAGGGCTCTCTTCTGCTGCATTCAGAATTTGAATCTCCCCTCTTGCACCTTGGGTGAGTGTCTTAAGCTCTGACCTGTGGTTACAAAGAACCAAAAAAGAGCTGCTTTATTACTTCAGGAGAGAGATAACTCAGAAACACCCTGAGGATGGAAGGCCCCTGTCTAATTCAGACATCAATATTTGACTTCCACCTCCCTCAACCAAAGTCAGTATTGTGGCTGCGTGGAGTTTGTTTCTCTCTGCTTTGAACAACTTTCTTATTTTTTCAGTTTTAGTATCAAGTGGTTTCTAAGGATAGAGAAACACTTTTATAGTGTTTTACAGGGGTCTGTGATGCTGAAAGCAAAGCTAAATTTCCTAAAAGCTCAGAGGCATCCGGTTCAGCCCAAACCTGCAGTCTGAAGCTTGCTTAATAGCGTCAGATCTGAAGATCTGCTGTTTGCATTTCACTCCAGCTGTCACAAACACAACTGGCCTGGCAGTATTCTTCTTAGACAGAGAGAGGACCTGGAGAAAGAAGCCACATTTGGAAATATATGAGCAGCATACAAAATGGTGAGTTAGTAGCAGAGATCACGAGTCTTTGCTATATTCAAGAAATGACCTAATAATCTGGTTTCTTATTCATGCTCTTGTCAGCTCCCCACAGAGGTGGGCAGTTTGGGGTGATAAGTACATACAGAAAAATCAGCCTGCAGTCCAAGGGCAGCAGGAACCAGCTATGCAGCACTGCCAAATTTGCTGCCAGCAGATTACCATGAGAGGCAGTGCTAAGAAGGATGAACTGCTGAAGTTTCCTACAAGCTCCCTTTTCTGTGACCTATATTGGAAGGTCATCCTGCACTGGACTTCTTGGACAGTATCACACGCTTAGGATAGCAGCCAGTTGGAAGATGAAGTGGAAAACCTGCCTTGAAAAGCAATCACTGACTAATTTTATGTCACGAGTATCTGATGCTAAGAAAACATACACATGATTTAGGTGTCCTTAATGTACAATTTGGCTCCATGGTGTTAACAGAGCATGCTGGCTGGTCAAGAAACCTGAAGGGCAAGGCTCCAATATCGTGTCAGGTGACAGACTTGGAGACATGGGACAAACTCGTGTAGGCCTTTCCCCTCCAAATATCGCACGTGGCCATGCAACAGGGCTGGGATGGACACAGAGGCATCAGCCCTCTCTTCAGGAATGTCACCCCAGTGGCATCATCCTCAGCTGCTCTCCAGCCATTGCCTCTCCCTTGCTTCAGGATCTCATTCCAAGCTGGCTTTCAGGTCTGAGATGTCACAGGGCTGAGATACTGGTGGCACTGGGGAAGAGTGTGGTGTCCCAAAGCAGGCTGGATTTCTGCAGGAAAGGGATTTCTGTATGTAATTCCATCAACTGACAAAGCCCACTGAGAAGCCTATGGGACAAAGACTGCCACTTCAGTGGGGATATGGCTACTGTTTATTACCATAGCAGAATTGTTCCATTCCCTCTTAAAAGTTAAAGCACATGGAAAATTCTGCATAACAGTCCAGCTCTGAGAGCAACTGATGGGAAATATTCAGAATGTTACTGAGTCAGGATCAAATTTTGTTTACCCACAGGCTCTCCATGAAGGCCTCATGTTTTATCTGAGAGGGTATGACTGGTTTTCAGGCCAACACCATGTGCTGAGCATCCAACCACAACTCAAAACAACAGCCCAATTTTTGAAGCAAAAATCTAGCCATCATATTTCCCTATGATTCACAAAGTTGCTTCAATTTGTTATAATGCAAGGCCCGTCCCTGCTCTGACTTGATGGGACCAGCTTTGGAGTCTTTGATGTCAGACGCCTTGAAAGCCCCATTTCACAGATGAGCCAGCTTTGCATAAATAAACAAAGTGACCTCTGAACTGGAGCCTGAGACCTGAGCACACTTCAAAGCACTGGGGGAGGCGCTGGGGGGGCAGTGGGGAATGAAGCGATCAGCATCCATCATTAAGGCAGCCCCCTCTCCACACTGGTGCTGAACAAGGGGTGTAAATGAAAGGAGGGAGGCAAGTAGGGAGGGAGTGAAATGAGGGGGAAAGTGATGTAATCCAGTCAGGCTTGAACAATTATAATGAGGCCTTCTTCTTCTCCCATGGATGAATGAAAGAAATCTCTCTGAGCTCTGGCTTTAGGAGCTGACTCTCACATTTGCCCAGATGCATCATGTTTGCACATCACATTTGCTCCCCAATATCCTTCACTGCTGCAGAAGTCTAGGGGAGCGACCA